TTGTCTTACATATAAGCAACTTTTATGCCAAATAAATTTTATGTCAAATGAATTTTATATCAAATAAGTTTTATGTCAAATGAGATATATATTAAATGAACTTTATGTCAAATGAAATTTAGGTCATATAAGATTTACCTATGTATATCAAAATAATTTTACGTTAAATGATTTTATATCAAATGAAATTTGGGGTTTAATCATGCGAAAAAAAATTTTCGAAAATGTCAAAGTTCAGCACTTTTTAGGGTTCCGTACCCGAAGGGGGAACCCTATTAATGAGACTAGTGAAGCAAGGCATGTACCCCCCCCCCCCTAGCGGCCACACGAATTTATCTAGATGGCTGAAATTTGGTATACATATGTATTTTGGCGTGTAGATTACAGGAAAAATATAGCGAATCTCATAGGAATTAATTATCATAGCGTTGTCAAGGAACAACCATGAATTTTTACGAAAAATCCCTAAAAATGACTATGTACCCCCCCTCCCCTGGTTGCCACATCTTTTTACATAGAGAGCTCAAATTTGGTACACTTATGTATTTTTACGTGAAAATTACAGGAAAAATAAAGCGAACATGATTCGGATTAATTTACATAGCGTTGTCAAGAAAAAATCAAAAATTTTGAAAAAAAGCGATGAATCCTCCTAGCGCACACAATATTTGACGAAGGCAGTTCATATTTGGTATACTTACGTATTTTTGCGTGTAGATTACAGGAAAAATATAGCGAGCACAATTGGAGTTGATGTTCATATTGTTTTTAAGGAAAACTCATATTTTTAGAAAAAATCATGGATTTTTCGAATAAAAAAAGAAGAAAATTTTATCCTAAGGGATCCAAATTTATACTTTTTTACGTATTTTTACTTGTAAATTACAAAAAAAATACAGCGAGAACGATTGGAGTTAATTATCATAGTGTTTTCAAGGAAAAACTAATAATTTTCGATAAAAATCATGATTTTTCCTCAAAAAACGAAGAATATTTTATCTAAAGAGTTTCAAATTTATACACTTTTACGTATTTTTGCGTGTAGATTACAAAAAAAATATAGCGAAAACTCCAATTGTGCTTGCTATATTTTTTTGTAGTGTTTTGCCATTCTTTATAATTTGCCATTTTTGCCATTTTCTTTTTTTTACCATTTGCTATTTTTTTTATCTTTTGACATTTTTTATTTGTTGATATTTTTATTAATTGGTGAAATCTAAAAAAATCATAAAATTGAAAATGTTAAATGATAAAAAAATTAAAAAATTTTTAAAAACTTGTGATATGTATTTCCATGCTCACATTACAAGAAAAATTAAGCAAAATTGGAATTTTTCCATCGGCCTTCACACTTTAAACCCCTCAAATTTTAGGATTAGGGGTACGGAACCCTCGGTTTTTATGCGAGTGTAACTCGCACTTGTCCGATTTTTTTTTTTTTATTTTGAATTTGGAGTAAAATTTCATAAGGATAAGTTGTAGAACTCTTGATGAAGACGCCAAAACTTTGGTCAAATTCACTAAAACTTTAAATTTAAAAAATTTTTCAAAATTATAAGTTTTTAAATAAATTTTGAAATTTTGCGGAACTATTTTTTGTTTTATAAGAGAACTCTATTTACTATCAAAATAATAAGGCAGAACTCTTTTTTTTACAAAAATTATAGTGCTCAGTGTAGTTAGCACCTTATTTTTTTAATATGATGCTTTTTTGTCTAAATTTACGGAACTATGGAATTAAAACTTATAGAAATGTAGAACTATTGCTAATCTACCCAGAACGCAGCATACTTTTTTCATTTTTTAAGATAGTGGTGCCAACTGCACATGACTGGAGGGAATCAATGAATCATCCCTTATTCTCAGAAATGTTTAATTTCTAATAAGTAATTCTCCTTCACGTTTTATATTCAATTTTAGGGGTTGAATTAAAATTTGAAACCTATGGGGATCAAACTCCAGACGTAAAACTTGTTACACGTAAAGAAGTGAAGAACTTACAACCTAATAAGATTTTTATGTAAATTTATGGAAAAGTGTGATTTGAAGATTCGATTTAAGGGTAGAACAGCGAGATTCCTTGTACCAAACAAAATCATTTCTCCAAAATTTTAACCCGAAATTATTTTTTATTTCAGATAAAGTTTCAAACCACAAAAACGTCCTTTCCCCACATACCATTAAGAAAAATTCAGCAAAATAAAAATAATCCTGTTAAAAATAAGAGGCTGATAGTAAAAATGATTTAAAATAACATTGGGAGCAAAAGTGGGATAAGCCACTTGGGAGAAAAAACGGGTTAAAATGATTCGTGTAATTTATTGATAAATTCATTATATTATCGATTAAAAAATATTAATTATAATAAAATATGCATTTTTTCCTATTGTTAATATTTTTTAATCGTTAATATAATGAATTTATCAATAAATTACACGAATCATTTTAACCCGTTTTTGCTCCCAAGTCACTTATCCCACTTTTGCTCCCAATGTTATTTTAAACCATTTTTACTATCAGCCCCTCAAATGAAGATTTGGTAACGCAAAAATTCTGTCCTCAAAAGTTTATGGGACACATGATTATGTTCTAAAAATCATTAGTTAGAATAATCTTCATTTTATGGAATTTCATTTGTCATAATTATTTTTGAGCCAAATTTTTATTTGTTCGAATTAGTATTTTGCAGCATTTTCATTAAAACGGTTTTCTATATCAAGTACAGAATTTTTATACAATCGAAAATTCACTTCACAGAATTTTTATTTGCTCAAATTTCTATTTGTCAAAATTTTTATTTGCTCAAATTTTCGTTTAATATAACAGGAATTTTAAAGAATTTTTATTGGGCAGAATTTTAATGCATATAGAATTTTATTTCAGATGAATTTTCATTTCTTCGAATTATTATTTGATATAATTTCCATATAACCAATTTTTTATACTTTACATACAGAATTTTTACTTAACCAAAAAATCATTTAAACAGGATTTCTAATTGATAGAATTTTTATTTGTCCGAAGTTGCAAATGACCGAACAAAAAATCGACAGAAAGTTTTCGGCGCGATTTTTAAAATCAACCAATGAAAAATTATCCGGTTGATTTTAAAAATCTTGCCGAAATCTTTCTGTCGATTGTTTGTTTAGCCATTTGCAATTTATAAGCCGAAAGTTCTGAACGTTCATATGAACGAAATATTTTTTTCAATCTATAAATTATTAAAAATTATGATGACCATGTAAAATAAAACAGTAAATTAAACAATTATTAAATTAATGACTTCTTTTTAGATATTTTAAACAATATTTTGTAATAAAATTCGTACTTAAAGAAGTAACAAAACAAATTTCGTTCATATGAACGTTCAAAACTTTTGGCTCATTGCAATTTCGGATTTAAATGAAAATTCTATTAATTAGAAATTCTGTTAAATGATTTTTCGGTTAAGTAAAAATTCTGTAGTATGAAAAATCGTATATATGGAAATTATATCAAATAATAATTCGAACAAATGAAAATTCATCTGAAATAAAATTCTATGCACTCAAATTCTACCCAATAAAAATTCTTTAAAATGCCTATTATATTAAATGAAAATTTGAGCAAATAAAAATTCTGTGAAGTGAATTTTCGATTCTATAAAAATTCTGTACTTAATATAGAAAACCGTTTTAATGAAAATTCTACAAAATTCTAATTCGAACAAATAAAAATTCGGCTCAAAAATAATTATGACAAATGAAATTCGTTTAACTCCGAGGTCTAGGGAGCCAGTCAGAAAAATTGGCGTTCTTATCGCCGCCGATTTCTCGAAAACTATAAAGGCGCTCCCATACCTTTTTGGCTGCCTGCAGGTTATCATGGCAACGCATGAGAGTGAGTGCGACAGAAAATTTAAAAATTCAAATTTTCTGTCTCACTCACACTCGTGCGTTGCCATGGTAACCTGCAGGCAGGCAGGCAGGCAGTCAAAAGGGTGTGAGTGTGCCATAAGTCATATTTTCAAGATTTTTGTTTAATTCGATTACTTTGTATCTAATCTCGATGCCAAATTTTGTCAAATTTGAAAATGAAATTTTTTAAAGTTTTCTATGTCACCGACCGGTTAAAGATTTAACATGTTAGTATACAGCGCTACTGCTGACAGTATCCACTATACCTATTTATGTATTATGGTAAAAATAAACATGGCTGCCGAAACTGTCACTTTGTTTTTTTCGTGCCGTTATTCGAGGAAAAAAATGTGGAGCGATCCGCGATCGTGTAGTGTGGTGTTGGTGTACATAGTAGTCACATTATTGCCAATTGCAGAAATTTTGCACCGGAATAATATCAAAACATAACCTCAATCATGGATGTATTCTGTTTAAGAATTGTTGTAATTAACTGGTCCACCACAATTCTTGAACAGAGTAAATCCATAATTGAGGTTATGTTTTGATATTATTCTGGAACAAAATTTTAGCAATTGGCAATAATGTGGCATTTCGTTTTGAATATTTTTTAATTTAATTGTTTGGAAATTATTTTCAGTTTATTCTAATTTTATGCACTGATAAATTTTTTATTTGATTCAAATAATCGGTTACTTGATTATTATCAAATAATTATTATTTGAGTCAAAGAAATGGTATTTGTTTCAAATAAAAAAGTTATTGGTTCAAGTCCAATTTATTTAATTCAAATAAAAATTATTTGGTTCAAGTAAATATTTATTTTATAATAGTCAAGCAACCGATTATTTGAATCAACTAAATTTTTTTTCAATGTGTTTATGTACAAAATAAATACTATAAATAATAATCTTATAAAATATATTTTAATTAATTAAAAAAGACGTTGTCACGATCAAAACTCTCCGTCCGAGTAATAAATATACAGACCCCGCTTTAATTTTTTTTAAATATATACGTATTTAAAAATAAATTGCAATTCATTCAAATAAAAAGTTTGGTAAATATATAATATTATAATTTATACTGAGTGTGGTTACTTACGATTTACAATTTTTTGTATAATATTTAGTACAAGTAATCCACAAATGTTTCACAATTCGCACTGCAGAACTTGTTTTTCAGTCTATATTAGTTTTTGTCAATAGATAAAAACTGTCAAAACTATCTATATAACACACTTCCGACACTTAAACTTATCAGTATTTATAGAATACTTTTATAATAAAGGATATTCTTAAAATATTTTAAAGACAGTTCCGAAACTCTTGACAGTTTAGCACCGAATGATGATGATCAGCGTGTTACTTTGCCGAAAGACTCACGAGTTCCTGGTGGAGGGGAAGGGATCATCTAAGAAAAGGGAAGATCATTTAAAGCTAATTACATATTTTAGACAAATCATTAAAACCTAATTAGTATAAGCTATTATAAGTCAATTTGCATATCAATAGTAATTACAATTTTGCTATTAGTATCCCGTGTGGAAAAGTGATGTGGGCCCCCAGCGGGGGCCCTTATGGATCGCCCTCATGCCATGAGGGCCGCATATGGATGATCCATAGGGGCCCCTCATGGAAACGACATGCTCATCGATGAGGGCGCCCGCATGGGCGATCCATGAGGGTGCCCCTACGGGCGCCCTTATGGGCCCTCACGTTTGCCCTCATCTTGCCCTCAAGTTTGCCATAATGTTTTTTAATCAATAATATTAATAATAAAAGTTAATTAATAATAAATAAGCTTAAGTTATGAATAAATAACATATTTATTTAATAATTATTCAATTTTAAATTAAATTCTTACTCAAATTGAATTTATTAATTAACGTTCTAATTAATTAACTGTCGGATATAATTAAAAGTAATAATAAATTAATTAATTAAAAAATTAAAAAATATGTAATTTATGCATACTATTAACGGATATTTTCATTTTTCAATTAATTCATACATAGAATTAATGATTAAACGCAAACCTGAGAAATAAATAAATCTAACGCATGGGGGGAATCGAACCTACGACCTACGGACTATGAGTCTAACGCTTTACCAACTACGCTACGCACGCTACTTCAAAACGAATGCTAACTTCTTGATGCTATTTAAACTTGAAAAATACCTAACAAAGAAAAGTGCTTAACATCATTTAGTTAAAGTTAAGATATTAAATTATATTTTCCAATCAAATGCAATTTATAAAATATAATTAATTATATGCTTTATGATTATTATCATGAATCATCTCAGGTGAATTTTCAAAAAAGTGTAAATATATTTTTATTAAAAACGCGTTTTTCGTTGTTTTGAATCATTGGAAACATTCATTTTTTGTTGATAAAAAAATATTTGATTTTTGGACTTAGAAAATTTTGCTAATCGATCATGAGGGCGATCCATGCGGGCCCCTACGGTGGCCCTCATCTATTTTGCCATAAGTGTGAGTGTTATTTTCAAAAAAGTGTAAATATATTTTTATTAAAAACGCGTTTTTCGTTGTTCTGAATCATTATAAACATTAATTTTTTGGTGATAAAAAAATATTTGATTTTTGGACTTAGAAAATTTTGATAATCGATCATGAGGGCGATCCATGCGGGGCCCCTCATGGATTCGCCATATGGATCAGCCCTCATGGGCCCCCGCCGGGGGCCCCGAACTCTTGAGGGCAAGATCGTGGCTTTTTCCACACGGGATACTGAAAATTTATTTCTTTTAAATAATCGGTTACTTGACTATTATATCAAATAAATATTTACTTGAACCAAATAATTTTTTTTCGAATTAAATAAACTGCATTTGAACAGATAATATCTATATTTAAAACAAATACCATCGAAATTTATTGGTTAAGTAAATATTTATTTGATAACAATCAAATAACTGATTATATTTAAATCAAATAATTTTTTTCACTGTGTGCAATAGAAAATTGTCAATGGTTGTACAAAATACATCAGATATTGGAAAATAAATAAATTAATAAATAATTGGTGAATTAAAACGAAAGCAAAAAAATTATTACCTACAATTTTCATTTGTATGAATTTCATAAGACAGAATTTCTTTTTAGACGAATTTTTATTTTATTGAATTGAATGTCATGAAAAAAAATTTTTTTGATCAATTTAAACCAGGTTTTTTAAAAAACTGCATAGTATCCGGTTTTGCCCCGATGGTGGGGTACTATCAAGAAAATATATAAATCATGGAATATTCATTTTATTATTATTATTATTATTCTATATCACTTACATTATAGAAAATAATTAAAATTCAATAAATTTAATCAAAATATATTATATTAATAATGAATAACATCAGTTAAATCTTTTAAACCGAAAATTTTCAAATTTGTATTAATTTTATTTTTAATAATTAATTAATGAATTTTTATTTTTATCGTTATATCATTAAAATGATATTGGTTGTAATATGTAAAGGGTGACACAAATAGAAATAGCTATCATGGAAAACTGGGGGTACCCGGTTTGACCCACCTACCTGGTTTTGACCAACTCTAATAGTAAAATTGTTATTACTATATAGACATGCAAATTGACTTATAATAGCTTATATTAATTAGGTTTAAATGATTTGCCTAAACTATGTAATTAGCTTTAAATGACCTCGTCGATAATGAAGCGAATGTTAATGATGAATTTTCGAGTGAAGCGCTTCGTTGTTCTTCCCCTGATGTTGTTGAGTATATCTTATTGGACCTAGGTGCGTATTTCTCAATTTTAAATAAAAAATTTATTAACGTTGAGTTCAGGGAAATTGCTAAACATAAATCAACTACTAAAACTGAAACAACTACAAAATATCGTTCTGCCAACTACACCCGAGGCGAAATTTGAATCCTCTTTAGCTTCCCTTAGAACCTAAATAGGCCCTCTTTTCGATCTTGTAGACTCCCGTAGGCCCTCCTTTGAATCCAAACGTGGAAGAAAGGTAAATTTGCGACTGGTTGAGGAAGCTGAAGAGGGTCTGTTTAACTCTACTTTACTCCTTGTAAATTAGGGCTTAAATTTCGCCTCGGGCATTCTTAATTATTTTAACTACTTTTTAGGGTTCCGTACTCGGTTCGGAACCCTATTATAATATCGATCATGTACCCCCCCTCTAGCGGCCACACGAATTTATCTAAAGGGCTGAAATTTGGTACACAATATGCATTTTCGCGTGTAGATTACAAGAAAAATATAGTGAACCTGGTTAGAATTATCATAGCGTTGTCAAGGTAAAACCATGAATTTTTACTAAAAATGACTATGTACCCCCCCTAGCGGCCACATCTTTTGACATAAAAAGCTTAAATTTGGTACACTTACGCATTTTTACGTGAAAATTACAGGAAAAAAAATGTGAGCACAATGGGAGTTGATGATCAATTTTTATCAAATTTTTAAAGAAAAATGATAATTTTAGGGAAAAAATGGATTTTTCCAAAAAACAATTTTGTAAAAAAAATTTAAGAAAGTTGTTTCTTTTTGTATCACTAACATTATTTGACATACAAAACTTATATTTATTAAACATTTATTTTTATACCAAATAAGTTCGCTTCGTGTGATTTTTTATAGTTAATACAACTTTTTAAAATGGAGGACCTATTGTACTAGGCAGAGTATTTAAAAAGTAGTCAAATCTACTAGTTTTTTTTCAGTGTATGATAAATTATCTTCGCCAATAACAAGACGAATCTCGGCCCAATAATGGTGCATCAATAGCAGAAGTGTTGAATTTTTTGCAGTATCTGTGACCGGGTCTGAGAAAACGGTGTTATCGCCCAAAAAATAGATTTTTTTATGATGGTTTCTTATAGTTTAAGGTCCTAAAAATACAATATAACTAGTTCCAAACGTTAAAAAAAATTTGTTGCTTTTGTTTAAACAAATTAAAAAAAAAATTTATTTCGAAAAAATTTTTTAATGAAAATATAAGTCATTCTAAAGCAAAAATTACTCGCAAAAATACCAAGAGTAATTTTTGCTTTAGGTATACCCGTCATCGGCGACGGGACGCATGATTTGTACACAAAATCAATTACATCGAATTGTCAAAGCATCGAGATCTATTACACACCGACTTTTCAATACATTACCTCATCAAAAGGAACGAATTTTCAAATCATCGATTTTCTAATGCACCAATCTGTAGAGGCATCAAATTTCCAATACATTTTGTAAAGTCGATGTCTTAGAAAATCGCTGCATTACAAATTAGATGTTTTATCAAATCGACATTTTGACAAATCAACGCTGTGGTTATAAGACTTTTTGAAAAATCGCTGTATTGAAAATTGAATGTTTTAATAAATTAATGTTTTAAAAATGAGTGTATTAAAAAATAGGTGCTGTGATTATTCGACGTTTTAAAAAATCGATGTATTGGAAAGTCGATGTTTTGATTTATTGATGTTTTGAAAAATCAGTGTAATGAAAAGTCGACGTTTTTGCGAGTCGACGTTTTAGAAAATCAGTGTTTTGCTAAATTGATGTATTGAAAATGAAATGTTTTAGCAAATCTATATTTTGACAAATTGATGATTTGATAAGTCGATAATTTGGAGAATCGGTGTTTTGAAAAATCAATGTAAAGAAAAGTCGATACTTTTGCGAGTCGAAGTTTTATAATATCAGTGTTTTGATAAATCGATGCATTAAAAAGTTGATTTTTTGACAAATCGACGTTATAACAAGTCGATGCTTTGGTAATTCAACGTTATGAAAATTCCATGTTTTGGAAATTCGATGTTTTAATAAGGGTATGAGATGGTAAATCTATGCCTTGAAGAATCGACGTTGTTAAAAGAGAGAGAGTCAATGTAATAGATCTCGATGCTTTGACAATTCGATGTAATGGATTTTGGGTACAAATCATGCGTCTCTCGGCGACCTGGTTGTCCAAGTCTTAAGAATATTTTCTCAAACCTCAAAAATGAATGTCAAAACTATTAACAAAAAATTCGAGCTAAATTCTCGGCGATGATCCTTAAGTATACCCATCATCGTCAACCTGGTTCTATAGGTAAAAAATAACCATGGATTATTGTGCGGTTGTCAGTTCTGAAGATGCATAAAAATTTAGACCTCTAGGTCATCAGCAAGTCGCTTAAATTATGATTTAAAATTTCACATTTTGACTTTTGCAAACAAATTGTTTGTAATAATAACATTGATGTTCAAAAAATTATTTAACCATAAAAATCGTGTTCAGCATAAAAAAATACATAAGGAACACTTATCTAGGTCCTTTGAAATATAAAATGTTTCAAGAAATCTATTTTAATTCTTAGTAAAACTTTAAACGCGTTTTTCTCGAGAAGTTGATTTTGGTCCATGGCACAGCTTTCTCAGACCCGGTCATATCTAGGATCAATAAAATTGAATTATTTAAAAAAAATCACTTATCTCTTGGCGAACGGGTGGATCTGCTGGCCATTAAAAAAAATTTTGTTTAAAAAAATTTTAAGTAGTTTTTATGTTAAATTTTTTAATAACAATATTAATTTCAGTATGTGTATTTTGTTATGACAGAAACGTATACTTTAAATTTATGTTGATTTCCAATCAATAATCATAAATGTTGCGAACTTCAGCAACGTATGTAAAACCAAGTTGTCGTTTAGCTACAATCATAAAACTAGATTCTGAAGAATCATCTGGTGCGCATTACATGCTAATTAAAATACATAATGTAAATTTGGTTAAAAACTTAAAATTTTATTAATTTTAATAATAGTAATGACAGTAATTATAATATTATGAGTTAAACAGATACAGAAAAGTCAATATTAAGTCATTTTTAGCATTATTGTACTACATGTTAGTTTTTTTGTATTATTGCGCAACAGAAATGTGTTTCTGATATATAGGGAAAAGTGACAAATAGTGGGACACTTTTTTTCAAAGACATATTAATATGTCAAATTTATATATTTTTGAACACTTTTTGGTATTACCATAAAGTTTGAACTCTTTTCTACACAATGTACATATTCTATTAAGATTATATTGTGATTAAATAAAACAATTTGAAGTTTTTGAAACTTGATACATTTTTCTTGTTTTGAAGGTTCGTGTTTAATTTTTGCCTGTCTCAGTGTTTAATGTCCCACTGTTTGAGAAATTTTAAATTATTGGATATTATACTTAAAAACATGAGTAAACGAAGTAACAATTACACTTTTTTTAAAAATTAAAATTAAAGTGTCCCACTGTTTTTCACTCTCCCCTATATTATTTTAATATATCTTTATATTTATAGTTTTATCTGCAATATTGAAATTTCAGTTTTCAAGTACTATGATAATTTACAAAACAAATAATATAATTTTTCTATTAAAAATGAATTACGTAAACAATTAAACATTTGCAACTTTTAATAAAATTTTTTCAAGTATTTTAATTCCCTTAAGAAAGTCATTGCTATTGACATATTCATTATTAGCGTGAGCTAATGCAGTAGTATTGCCTAATGGTGTAAATCCCAAAGCTGGTATTCCAAGCTGAAAAATTCCATAAAACTACTATGTATTTTTTGACTGAAATTATCAAACTTTAGTAAAAAAAATATTAAACATACAGCGCGTAGAAAGCGTGAATCTGTTGCTCCTTGCATAATTCGTGTTTCTATTTCTATAGAGTTCTCATCGCAAGCTTGTTTAAAGGCTTGCCAATAAATATTACTTGAATCTAGTTTTGTAACATCAGTTGGCGGTCCTTTGTCAATAACAGTATAATTAACTCCATCGCCAGCTTCCCTTAACCAACCTTCAAACATTTCAACGAATTTTGTAAAATTAACAAAAGGTGAAACACGAATGTCAAATGCCACTGACAACATATCGGGAATTACATTTACTTGCATGCCACCCTAAAAAGACCAATTTCAAAATTATTATCTTTATGGGACATTCCACGTCAAAGTGGACAGAGCCCTAAAAAAAATTGCTTTGATGGATTTAAACGTTCTAGCGCTCCAAAGATTTCTACATTCGTGTAGGTCATCAGCAACCGAAAGAGTGGTACTGGATTGGTACTGAGAGCTCAGTATCATTTCAGTTTCAATTTAGTTCGTTTTAAGAGGAAGGACAATATTGGGATTGGCTAAACTTCAATACACCATCTGGTGGTTACCTACTTCGGACAAACATTTTCCTTTTTCATCTTTATTTAATTAACACAATAGAAAGAGAAATAAAAACCAGAATGTCTGACGAAGTAGGTAAAAGCCACTAGACCGACAATCCCAATAAGTTTGTGTTTATCTAACATATCTTTAAAACTATTGGTAAAGTACTTTAAAAATGTCTTCCGATGGGTAATCAGGTAGTTGTACTGAAGTCAAACTCAGCCACTCAGTACCACCTTTTCGGCAGAAAAAATTTTAATTGATTGTGGTTTTCTTATCATACCTTGAGCATTGTCAAATTTATAGAAGTAACATTGTCCATATTCCCTGCATCTTCAAATTTTTTCTTTTCTTTTTTTCTAAATTCAAGAAGACGATCAATTACGATTTGTAATTTCTCGCCAGCAGTATTAGCAGACAAATTCGAACCATGACCGGGTTTACCGGGGCAGTTAACCCACATTTCAAAAATTGTCCTCTCAGCATAGGTTACATAATATTTATTTTGAGATCCAGGAATTGCTTCATCCAAGGCAAAACCAACATTTAGATCTTTGAATTGTTGAGATTTCACAAAACTTTGCATGCCTAACTCTCCTTCTTCCTCGTCCGGCACCATGGACAAATGAATCGTTCTCCGTAGTCGAATTCCTTTTAATTTTAATCGTCGAATTGCTTCTAAATATTGTATAGTAACACCCTTCATGTCTTGCGCTCCACGAGCATAAATATTGCCATTTTCATCCATTTTGGCTTTAAATGGTGGATATTTCCATTCTTTCTGTAAAATTTAATGATTTCAATTGAATGTATACAGTTTCAATTTGTATTGTAATTGTGTACGGTAAGTCCGGGATAGATGGCCATACTTTTTTTAAATGTCCGTTAAAATATAACGGAAGCAGTTTATGTATTAATTTTCATTACATTTTGAAAAAACAAAAAAATATTTCAAATATTGCAATGATAAAAATTTGAAAATTCATGTTCCTTAAAAAACTGCAATATAGAAAATCGGATTGATGAAAATTATGCCAAATGCTATTTCGAACAAATTAAAATTCGGCTCAAAACTAATTAGGACAAATAAAATTTGATAAATTGTAAATTATGACTAATGATTTTTAGAACATAATCATGCGTCCCAGATACTACATAAGATCTTACGAGAATCCTATATGGAAACTCATGAGATTTGTCTCATGAGTGTCTATATGGAATTCTATATGAGATCTCACATAGGATCCCACATGGGAATATGTAGTAGTTATTTAAAAAAAGAATATGAGACACATTTTAGGTTTTAAACACAAAATACTTTTGCTTTATATAAAATGAACTCAAAATTTTGTCCGATTTTACGTATCTCTTACCGTTTTTGAGATATTAACAAATCTTATTTTTCAAATTTCGACCCCATATGGGATCCTTTATGGAATCCTGTATGGACACTGATGAGATTCTTCTTACGAGATGTCCTTATAAGATTTCGTATAGAATCATATATAAGAAACCATAAGCTATCTTACAAATAGGATCTCATATGGGAATTAACAGTAGGGGATACACTGTTAGAAAAATCTGTATTAGATTTAATATACATGCGTATGAAGCGAATATGCACTACAGGTATTGAAATCTAAGATACATGTATATTAAATTTAAAGTGACAACATGGCGGCTGTAGATGCCTATTTCACCAAACGGTCATTATTTCCTTGATATTGAAAATTTATTTGAAATTGAAACAACAGTGCGTAATTCTTTAACTATTGTGTTGTTTATGTCCAAATAATGTTTTATAAGGGGAAAATTTTTCAAAAAAAACATTCTAAATACAAGAATTTTAATACTTATATGTGACATTTAGGTTAAGTACTATAAATGTCAAATTATATGCATTTTTACAATGTAAATTGATTTAAACTTGTATTTACATGAAAGAAATTACTTTGCTTTATTAATAAAAACCTTATTTTGTGCACAAGAACATGTATAAATTGAGTAAAATGCAATTTTTTTATTTGAATTTTTTTCAGTGACAAAATTTAATATACTTTGTATATGAATTACACTCTAATATACCAGTTTCTTAAATTTAAGTACTTTATGTATATTAAAACTACAAACATTTTTAACAGTGTACTTAAAGTCCGCCGTTGGTACCGGCTTGGTACCAAATTTACAATAACATTGCTTTGGCACGTGTCACTTTCGATGTTTTTAAAAGTTTCAATTTTTTAAATTAGTTTCTTAAAAAAAAATTTGTTCTTCACTACGGTAAACTATTTAAAAATATATTAAGAATTTTATATAAACGAGTTAAAAAGTGCATATTATTGCAGTGAAAAGATATGTTTTTTTTATTTCGAATGAACAAAAACATTGACAAGAAATAAATGATAAAAATAATTAATTAACGTGAAAGAATAATGGAAAGGTAAAAAACGTGAAAAAATGAAAATTTTCATTTTCAGATATAATGTATACAAAGAGATGACTGCGTATATTATTGTTTATAATCATATAGTATTATTCTTTTGAGTACATTTGAAGTTACTCAAGCGTTTTGATTGCAAAAAAGAAATACATTAAATTAATTAAAACTTACGGCATTTACAGGAACGACATCCATATGTCCATTGATTAAAATAGAAGGTTTATCCGGTTTTGTGCCTTTCCATGTAATAATTACAATTGGTTTTGTGGGATGCAATTCAATAACTTTTGCAGTTAAATTAAGAGATTTTGCTTGTCGTTTCAGAAAACTTACACAATCGTCTGAAAATAAGTTTGTAAATATTAAAATAGAATACAAATTAAAAACAGAAGATTGCAAAAAAATTTTACCGTAGTTCACATTTGGATGAACTGATGGAATTTGAAGGTACTCGATTAAATTTTTCAAAGCCGTTATTTCCAGTGCATCTTGTTCAGACTGTATTTTTAAAATAAAATTTTTGAAAAATTTATCATCTACTATGTTTTGTCAATCTAAATTCTAGCACATGGAGTTCGAAAGATTTAAGATTTAAGATTTAAGATATTTAATTGCAATGTTTAGTGAAAATTGTGTAAAGATTTAAATGTCCCGATTAAATAAATGTTCAGGAAACTAAACATTTATTTAATCAGGAAATTTAAATCTTTACACAATTTTCACTAAACATTGCAATTAAATATTCCGAACATTTCAAATAAATCTTTAGAAAATCTTTAGGAAAGTTTCGGTGCTATGATAAACAATTTCAGTGTTAATTTTTAAAAATTTACTGTCACAGCAAACTTTTTTGACCCCACAGCAAATTTGTTTGCTGTCCCTATATTAGCTAACGTAATTTGATGTAGCAGCAAATAATTCGCTGCCGCACAACAAATTTTTTCTATGCGTGTATAATTGAATTAGACTAGGTAATTAATTTCATTTGCAGTGAATACAGATGTAAAATCCATCTGTTATTTCAGCACAGTTGAAGTGAACAGCATAAAACATTCGAATTATTCATAAATAATGCGAAATAAAAATAGAGAGGTGTATTAGAATTAAAAACTGTTAAATATGATTTATTGCACAACTCCTCACTATCGCTGTTGCATAACTCCCCATTTTCTATATTTTCAAAACAGTCATAGAATCATTGACACATCGAATGTTTATGCGAATTTTGTTTCTGTTCTCAGAAAAGTTATTAATTACTGATTATTTTTATGCGCTAACCATTGTGATCACCTTCAAAAAATTAGTGGAAATGACTTAAACATAAAAAGACAATAAAACTTTTAGAAAAAATTTTAACTCACTATCTATGGAAAGACACGAAGAATGCTTGAAAAGATGACGCGGGTACCACTTAAAAAGTTCCATCACAGCACCGAAACTTTCCTAAAGATTTATTTGAAATGTTCGGAATATTTAATAGCAATGTTTAGTGAAAATTGTGTAAAGATTTAAATGTCCCACTTGAATAAATGTTTAACCTTTCCGGCCGCACAGTAATTCTCAGAAAAGGTTTCCATCACGTACCTGTAATAAACCTGATATTTAAAAAAAAATTTATGAAGTATATTTTGCCCCCTTTATTTAATCGGGACATTTAAATCTTTACACAATTTTCACTAAACATTGCAATTAAATATTTCGAACATTTCAAATAAATCTTTAGGAAATCTTTAGGAAAGTTTCGGTGCTGTGGGGGTTAGTTCTTAACGAGAAAAGAATTTGATAATAGTTGTTTGTCACATTAATATTTATGCTCACAATATATCTTACAATAATATCTTAGGTACACCAAGCTTAGAATAACATTATATACACTCTTTATACATGTAACCTTTCTATCAGAGCTGAACTTTTAAGGGGTTAAACTACTCTAGAACGTCAAAAAGGAGTCTAATTTTAACAATTTCTTTTAAAAAGTTTAAAAGTAATAAAAAATATGTTTATATATCTTTATTAGGTACACTTTAAAGGCGGAAAACATATACTTCATTAATTTCTTTTTTTAAATATCAGGTTTACAGGTACGTGATAGAAACCTTTTCTGAGAATTACTTTGCGGCCGGAAAGGTTTTTGCCACAATTTTCATAGAACACACAGTTTTCCTAAAAGTCTCAAATTGAGACCAAAAATTGCATCAAATCTTTGCAACGTTTTGATGCACATAAGTTATATCAAAAAGAGATCGTATTGTGTATCATTTTTAGAAATGATACACGAAACGGTCTCATTTTTTGATGCAAAAAATTTAATCAATTTATATCAATCATGGCTTATACGATGTAACCTTACAATCTATGCAAATAATTATACGATAACCTTACAGCAGTATGTTATGCTGTGTGGGTAAATAATTTGACAATAAAAACAAAATTATGCAAAAAATACTGTTAAATTATTTCTTATCGGTACACGGAAAAAAATAGTTCGCGAAACTTTCGTAAACTAGTTTTTCACTTTTGGACGGGCCCAAAGTTTGGAAATCTTTCATTAACTTTTTTCAAGATTCCACAAACTTTTTTTTGTGCGCGTGCGCAGACATTGATTGTCATGAAGAGAGTGATGAACGTTTGTGAAATCTTGGAAAAAGTTAATAAAAGATTTTCAAACTTTGGGCCCGTCCAAAAGTGAACAACTAGTTTACGAAACTTTCACGAACTATTTTTTTCCGTGTAGCAAAAACTCGCAAAAAGTTAGATCATTATGAACTTGCATTGAATATAGATAGAGCATTTTATACCGGGAAAATAAATAAATTAAATTCCTTGCTTCGAAGCGATTAGGATTACCTATATATATAATATATTATATTTACTAGAAATTTACTGAATAGATGGCAATTTTGGATTTCTAATTAAATTAAAATTCATATTTTTGCATATCTTAAACTCTCATTTTTTAAACATGGTGAATAACAGTGAAAAATAAATTGATTGATTTACAGTGGGATGAGCTCGATTATCTAAACTAATAACCTAGTTCCAAAAACGTTTTTAGAACGAACATGGTTTTTTGTCTACTAGATAATAAAATAAAAAACGAATCTTTTAAGATTTCTTTGGAATAAATTTTGTTATTTTGCTTTGGAAAATTAAATCTATTCATTTTTTAGCGAAATTTGAATGATAAAATTTTAAAAATGAAAAAAATATAAAAAATAATTTTTTAAATTTGGAAGGCAATAAAAGTTTGATTAACAGAAGTTCGGATAAAATGTTTTACGGTTCGGATAATCGAGGTTCCACTGCATATATAAAAAGTATATAGATTACTATTATTTGAGTTACTTCGCGTGTGGAAATCATCCCAAAGTAGCCCAAAGTGAGATTGGCGCCAAAGTTTGCTTGGGCAAACTTTGGGTCAACCCATTTTGGCCCAAACTGGGATTTCCCAAGGTTTTCCCAAACTGAAATTTAATTGGATTTTCTATTACAAATAAATGAAAAATTTTAATATAAAAATATTTTTAAACATTTTAAACTTGCAGAATTTTTATTTCTATTTAAATAAAATATACAAATTATTTACAAAAATTGGTTAAAAGTTTAATAATTTTTAACCACAATTTTTAAAATAATTTATTCAACTAAATTATTATCTATTTTTATAAATTTCATTATTAATATGCATTAAAAGTATACTATTAACTAATTACAATTTTTGTTAATCTAACCCGTCATTTAATTATTGTATGATATTTACTTTGAAATTCTCAAATGCTTCACTTAGCGTAGTTGGTTACAAGCCAAGTTTGGGGGTTCTTTGGGAAGGCCCACTTTGGACATTGAGAAACCCAATCTGGGCCAGATTGTCGCCCAGTCGACTTTTCCACACGGGTTATTAATAAATATTAATAAAAGAAGTAATTTTACCTGAACGATTTTCAAGTTTGAAATTTCAAATACGATTAAACAATAAATGATTTTTTTTAAAAACGATAACATTGTAGGAAATAATGTAGCTTTAAACGTTGCATGAAATACACTGAAGTGAAATAAGTGAATTTATCTTGTCGTCGCATTGTTCTTTTAATGACTCAGGTAACCAAGGAGTTATCCATATAATACGTAATGCTTAATGGGGGAGGGGTAGGGTTTACAAGACAAGGTTAAAATATAATTTATTTTAACTTTCAAATTTATTTTTGTTAAAGCTGTAATAGGAATTTTACTGCAAAAAAATGCAGTAAAAATATGAACATAAATAATGTACCTTATGTTTACAGGATTATTTATGAACGTACTTACGTGATTTTTAAAATAATTAAAAAAAAATTCGGCTCTTCATATTATGCTCTTATAGGAAATGCGATGAAAGTTTGTTAAGTTTTTAGTGAAAGATGATTTAACATTGAAATAAGAAACAATACACGTCCGAGAAGTTGGCAACGCCATTTCATTTTTTCAAAAAATCAATTTTTGTGCTAAATTGTGCTAATTTTGTGCTAATTTGTGCTGCAAAAATTTTTTTTAAAAAATTAAAAATAGGGGTCAAAAATTTAAAAAAACAGTTTTTGGCAAAAAATTTATGATTCAGTTTTATTCTAAACAAATCATTTGTCCAGTTATAATGTAACAACAATACAATCTACCAAAAAAAGTGAAAAAATTTTTTTTTTTTTTAAATACAAAAATTTAATATTCAAAATTAAGATTTTTAACCCTAAAATGGGTACATATCAAAATTTCTCAAAATCAATTTCTGTGCTGTATTCTACAATACTAGCACAAAAATAATCGCAAAAAATATTTTTAAAAAACTGAGTTTAATTAAAAGAAATTGCAATTTTATTGCTCCAAATTAAGATTTTTAACCCTAAAATGGGCAAATATCAAAATTTTGTAAAAACAATTTCTGTGCTGTATTCTACAATACTAGCACAAATATAATCTCAAAAAACATTTTTGAAAAACTGAGTTTAATTCAAAGAAATTGCAATTTTATTGCTCAAAATTAACATTATTAACCCTAAAATGGGCAAATATCAAAATTTCTGAAAAAAATTTCTGTGCTGTATTCTACAATACTAGCACAAAAATAATCTCAAAAAACATTTTTGAAAAACTGAGTTTAATTTCAAGAAATTGCAATTTTATTACTCAAAATTAACATTTTTAACCCTAAAATGGGTACATATCAAAATTTCTCAAAATCAATTTCTGTGCTGTATTCTACAATACTAGCACAAAAATAATCGCAAAAAATATTTTTAAAAAACTGAGTTTAATTAAAAGAAATTGCAATTTTATTGCTCCAAATTAAGATTTTTAACCCTAAAATGGGCAAATATCAAAATTTTGTAAAAACAATTTCTGTGCTGTATTCTACAATACTAGCACAAATATAATCTCAAAAAACATTTTTGAAAAACTGAGTTTAATTCAAAGAAATTGCAATTTTATTGCTCAAAATTAACATTATTAACCCTAAAATGGGCAAATATCAAAATTTCTGAAAAAAATTTCTGTGCTGTATTCTACAATACTAGCACAAAAATAATCTCAAAAAACATTTTTGAAAAACTGAGTTTAATTAAAAGAAATTGCAATTTTATTGCTCAAAATTAACATTATTAACCCTAAAATGGGCAAATATCAAAATTTCTGAAAAACAATTTCTGTGCTGTATTCTACAATACTATCACAAAAATAATCTCAAAAAACATTTTTGAAAAAATGAGTTTAATTAAAAGAAATTGCAATTTTATTGCTCAAAATTAAGATTTTTAACCCTAAAATGGGCAAATATCAAAATTTTGTAAAAACAATTTCTGTGCTGTATTCTACAATACTAGCACAAATATAATTTAAAAAAACATTTTTGAAAAACTGAGTTTAATTAAAAGAAATTGCAATTTTATTGCTCAAAATTAAGATTTTTAACCCTAAAATGGGCAAATATTAAAATTTCTGAAAAACAATTTCTGTGCTGTATTCTACAATACTAGCACAAAAATAATCTCAAAAAACATTTTTGAAAAACTGAGTTTAATTAAAAGAAATTGCAATTTTATTGCTCAAAATTAAGATTTTTAACCCTAAAATGGGCAAATATCAAAATTTTGTAAAAACAATTTCTGTGCTGTATTCTACAATACTAGCACAAAAATAATCTCAAAAAACATTTCTGAAAAACTGAGTTTAATTTCAAGAAATTGCAATTTTATTACTCAAAATTAACATTTTTAACCCTAAAATGGGTACATATCAAAATTTCTCAAAATCAATTTCTGTGCTGTATTCTACAATACTAGCACAAAAATAATCGCAAAAAATATTTTTAAAAAACTGAGTTTAATTAAAAGAAATTGCAATTTTATTGCTCCAAATTAAGATTTTTAACCCTAAAATGGGCAAATATCAAAATTTTGTAAAAACAATTTCTGTGCTGTATTCTACAATACTAGCACAAATATAATCTCAAAAAACATTTTTGAAAAACTGAGTTTAATTCAAAGAAATTGCAATTTTATTGCTCAAAATTAACATTATTAACCCTAAAATGGGCAAATATCAAAATTTCTGAAAAAAATTTCTGTGCTGTATTCTACAATACTAGCACAAAAATAATCTCAAAAAACATTTTTGAAAAACTGAGTTTAATTAAAAGAAATTGCAATTTTATTGCTCAAAATTAACATTATTAACCCTAAAATGGGCAAATATCAAAATTTCTGAAAAACAATTTCTGTGCTGTATTCTACAATACTATCACAAAAATAATCTCAAAAAACATTTTTGAAAAAATGAGTTTAATTAAAAGAAATTGCAATTTTATTGCTCAAAATTAAGATTTTTAACCCTAAAATGGGCAAATATCAAAATTTTGTAAAAACAATTTCTGTGCTGTATTCTACAATACTAGCACAAATATAATTTAAAAAAACATTTTTGAAAAACTGAGTTTAATTAAAAGAAATTGCAATTTTATTGCTCAAAATTAAGATTTTTAACCCTAAAATGGGCAAATATTAAAATTTCTGAAAAACAATTTCTGTGCTGTATTCTACAATACTAGCACAAAAATAATCTCAAAAAACATTTTTGAAAAACTGAGTTTAATTAAAAGAAATTGCAATTTTATTGCTCAAAATTAAGATTTTTAACCCTAAAATGGGCAAATATCAAAATTTTGTAAAAACAATTTCTGTGCTGTATTCTACAATACTAGCACAAAAATAATCTCAAAAAACATTTCTGAAAAACTGAGTTTAATTTCAAGAAATTGCAATTTTATTACTCAAAATTAACATTTTTAACCCTAAAATGGGTACATATCAAAATTTCTCAAAATCAATTTCTGTGCTGTATTCTACAATACTAGCACAAAAATAATCGCAAAAAATATTTTTAAAAAACTGAGTTTAATTAAAAGAAATTGCAATTTTATTGCTCCAAATTAAGATTTTTAACCCTAAAATGGGCAAATATCAAAATTTTGTAAAAACAATTTCTGTGCTGTATTCTACAATACTAGCACAAATATAATCTCAAAAAACATTTTTGAAAAACTGAGTTTAATTAAAAGAAATTGCAATTTTATTGCTCAAAATTAACATTATTAACCCTAAAATGGGCAAATATCAAAATTTCTGAAAAACAATTTCTGTGCTGTATTCTACAATACTATCACAAAAATAATCTCAAAAAACATTTTTGAAAAAATGAGTTTAATTAAAAGAAATTGCAATTTTATTGCTCAAAATTAAGATTTTTAACCCTAAAATGGGCAAATATTAAAATTTCTGAAAAACAATTTCTGTGCTGTATTCTACAATACTAGCACAAAAATAATCTCAAAAAAATTTTTGAAAAACTGAGTTTAATTAAAAGAAATTGCAATTTTATTACTCAAAATTAACATTTTTAACCCTAAAATGGGTACATATCAAAATTTCTCAAAATCAATTTCTGTGCTGTATTCTACAATACTAGCACAAAAATAATCGCAAAAAATATTTTTAAAAAACTGAGTTTAATTAAAAGAAATTGCAATTTTATTGCTCCAAATTAAGATTTTTAACCCTAAAATGGGCAAATATCAAAATTTTGTAAAAACAATTTCTGTGCTGTATTCTACTATAATAGCACAAAACTAATCTCAAAAAACAGTTTTGAAAAACTGAGTTTAATTAAAAGAAATTGCAATTTTAATGCTCAAAATTAAGATTTTTAATCCTAAAATGGGCAAATATCAAAATTTCTGAAAAAATTTTTAGAAACTAATTTTTGTGCTGAATTGTGCACAACCAGCACAAAAATTAGTTTCTAATAATTTTCATTTTTGTATTTTTTTTGGTTATGATCGTTATTGTTAAATTATAAATTTAGTTATTTTTGAAAATAAAGATTTTTTAAAAAATGTTATTAGAGTTTATTTTTGTACTGATCGTGCACAATTCAGCACAAAAATTAATTTCTAAAAATTTTTTCAGAAATTTTGATATTTGCCCATTTTAGGGTTAAAAATGTTAACTTTGAGTAATAAAATTGCAATTTCCTTTAATTAAACTTAGTTTTAAAAAAATTTTTTTTTGCGATTATTTTTGGGCTAGTATTGTAGAATACAGCACAGAAATTTTTTTCAGAAATTTTGATATTTGCCCATTTTAGGGTTAAAAATCTTAATTTTGAGCAATAAAATTGCAATTTCTTTTAATTAAACTCATTTTTTCAAAAATGTTTTTTGAGATTATTTTTGTGATAGTATTGTAGAATACAGCACAGAAATTGTTTTTCAGAAATTTTAATATTTGCCCATTTTAGGGTTAAAAATCTTAATTTTGAGCAATAAAATTGCAATTTCTTTTAATTAAACTCAGTTTTTTAAAAATATTTTTTGCGATTATTTTTGTGCTAGTATTGTAGAATACAGCACAGAAATTGATTTTGAGAAATTTTGATATGTACCCATTTTAGGGTTAAAAATCTTAATTTTGAAAGCGCGGTGAAACTAGCGAGCCGCCAGCCGGCAGACAGCAGACAAAACCATAGGCGTCGACGCTACACTAAATGCCACCACTAGCAAATTGGAGCTGC